CATTTTTTTTTCTCTGCACAGCGAAAAATCCCTTTTTGAGAGATCGTAAAGCCAGCGAACGTGGCCTAAGGGAGCGGCCAGGGGCGAAGGCATAGGAGTGGGTAAGGATGTGGGGCTTCCTTTGGAGGCTGTGGCTAGAGGGGGGTACTTTCAAACTGGTTGCTGCTGCTGTGCCAATTTATGAGTGAGCGCCGCCTAAAAGCATGCAACACTTCTTTACATATGCCATATGTTTGCTTGTGTGCGTATGAGTGAGTGTGTGTGCTGGGGCTCTCTACAAGTGCGCCTCCTGTGTGTGAGCGTGTATGAATCAATTTGGCGCGCTGCTTTTGTTTTCATTTCTTTTATAATTAATTGCATTGCTTACGCTTGCCTGGGCCTCAACTGCGGGCTGTTCCCAGCTCCTGCCTACCTCTCCTTTATCCATCTACTCTTTATTCTCTCGCTCCTTCCTTTCGCCTTCTCCGCCCCTTTCCTCAACCGAAAAATCACCGCAGGACTTTTGGCCTAGGGATGTGCATAAATATATTGAGAAGAAATAATCGAAATGATTTTGGAAATTCAGAAAAGAGTTTTATGGAAAATTTAAAAATATTAAAATTGGCAAAACATATCCTAATTTTATTTATCGAAAAATGTATTCGTCTAAAATAATTTGGAAAATTGTTTCATATTTTTAAAATTTATTTTTTTAATTCTACAATCCATTGACTTTTTAGGAATATTATTTTCTTACAATAATAATATTTATTTTGATATATATGAAAAAGTCATTATATCGCAATTATCGATATCTTTTATTAATATTTATAATAAACAGTTCGGTTTTTTATTAATATTTATATTAAACCGTTTTAATCTAATAAATAAAAATATTTTTAATTACTTTTTTATTACTTTAATAATATAATACAATTTATAATTATTAAAATTGCTAATAATTATCGAAAAAAAATTAAGATATATCGATATTTGTTTGCCATCTTTACTCAGGCCCCCAGGCAGTTGAGGAAGCAGGAAAAAAAGGGGGATGTTTTGGGGGGAGGGAGCCTTGCTGCGTGTGATTATTGGATCAAATTGTGCACAGGCTTGTTTACATACACCCACACATCACACATCACGCTTACACATACACATTTATACAGCCACACACACGCACGGAACGCAAGGTTATTTCGATCAAAGTGACATTTAATTAAATCTCAAAAACAAAAAAGTGCGAAAACAGAGAAACGAAAACCCAGAACGCATTAAGAATAATACCAGAACCCTGGATCTGAAGCTGAAGCCTGAACCTGAGCCTGGAAGAGAAAAGTAGCAATTGCTGGGTCAGTGAGAAAATCAGACTGATTAACAGAGAAACTGATTAATAGGTAGGCATATTAGTTGCTGGGCTTTATAGTGGCATAAACAGTTAATTAATTTGTAGATCTATATATACCTAGGGAAAATACAAGAGACATTTTTTTTTTTAGGAATCAGTATTTATATATTTGTATATATATTTTATATATTTATAGTATTTATTGGATTAGTATTATATAGTTTTTGATTTAAGGCTCTAAATTTTTGTTCACCTTATATAATTAAAAAAAAAAATGATACATAACTTAGGGCGTTATGCATCTTATTATTATATGGTATTTGATCTTAAGCGTTACGCATCTTATTATTATATTGCCTTAGATTTCAAGCTCTCATTGATATGTATTTATATATATTTTCCGTAGCATCTTTTGTAATGAAAAAATAAGAACTAATCCCGTTTGAGCAATTTACGTTACGCATCTTATTATCATATTGACATGTATATAAATTTTCATTACCAGCTAATATAATCAATCAAGGTGTAAATTGTTATTCCACCTGCCTAATGAACTGCTAGACATTGTCCTCATTATAATAAAAGACCACCAAAGACCATAATGTCTTAGTTTTCCATGTAAATATATATATATTTTCTTTTGTACCAATCCCACATCAATGAATGTTTTCTGTATATATATTTTTGTTTCTAGCTTACAATGTATTTAATTCAGGTGTTAATTGTTATACCAACATTTTCTTATGCTAATTTTTCCCAGACACTAATTTCCATTAGGACATTTTGGCATATCAAGAGAGTCTTTTTTGTCTTTTTGGCTTTTGTTTTTGGCCAAGACAAAATGCCATGAATTTGTGGGGGTCCCCCACAAAGATTGTTAGACAAATTACCGTAGTGATTATGACGCCGCATCTCTGTGACCTGAGTAACAACATTCCTCTGGCTTCGTTCCCGTTGAGGTTATCAATTAGTCCATTCCTGCGGCTCAACAATACTAGCTTCTTCTTGCCGTTTTGTGCAACAGTTTGCCTATGCACTGAAAGAAATTTCTTATTACTAGGACTTTAGGTGGGAAAATAGAAGGGTTTAGATTTAATTTAATTTTTATTTAATAAATATTCACTCAAAAATTTGTTTATTACATAATTTTTAGATTTTTTTATAGCCTATATTTGCTATATATTGTATTTTTTTTTGGCTCAATATTTTTTGTCTGTTTTTTTCGAGTGTATTTGTGTGTGCAAATAGTTTGGAGGCATTTGCGTGCGGTTTATGCAACGGCTGGCAGCATTGATTAAATGTCGTTTAAATGTGCAAGCAAATCAGGAGGACGTAGCACACACACACACACAAACACACAAACACAGAGCAGGCAGGACTCTGAACTGCTGCCCGCATGTGGCCAGGATCTCCAGCGGCGTATGTAGAGAGTATCCTGGCCTGCGATGATGGAATGCCTGTGTGCGCCACGATGTTATTGTACGATGTCTATGCATGTGCCACACATATATATATATATGTATGTATGTGTGTGTGTGTATATATATGTTGTGCGTGTGCCCGTGTGTATTTAGGTGTGTTTGTGTGCCCAGGATAAATGCTAGATGGCAATGGAGGCAAATGTTAACGCATTGAATTCGATGCGATTGATGGAACTGCACGCCCACACGAACAGCATACCCGAGTGCATTGTGTGTGTGTGGGTGGTTACAGGAGGTAACCAGGATATGGCATAGCGGCACACACATATGGGGGCCATTGGAGGTCCATATGCCAAAGGTAGACAGATAGAAATCGACACGCAGCTGGTGGTAATGCTTAAAGCAACAGACCGAACCCAGAAGGGGCACGCACACACAATGGAATCGAACGGCATCGAAGCGAGCGGAATCGTATATCGTAGTCCCATTTCGATTTTACAAGCTCCGATAGGCAGTCATGATGCAGTAAGGCGATATAAACGTATCGATAATATCAAGCAGTAATTGGTCTTAAAATTCATAAACATTTCATTCAAATTCGGGCAACAGTTTTGGGCTTCGTTTAGTTATTAAATAATATCGATATTTTACGATTAAAATTAATAAATATTAAATATTTTCAATATGACCTTAATATTCCTCCAAATAAATCTTAGAATTAGGTTATTTACGATTATTGCCAAAACTTTAATTAGGCTACAAGCTATATATATTTATTTAACCAAAAATAAACTCCACCTAAACAAATATTAATAAATCAATCGATACCCATGATTTATGCTTGTTAAAAGCTTTGTAAATAAAACTGTGGCTCAAGTAAATAAACCGCATAAACCTGTCAAAAACCATGGCAGCAGCACCATCAAATTTTTTCGATAATTAGCGAAAAATTGCGCTAATTAAAAATATATAAACATATGTACATATATTTGTAAAAAAACAATATATGGCGGCGACCTCGGGGCTCTAAACACGTCCAGTGCAAGGTGGGCATCGAGTCCCCTTGTTTACCACCTGTTAATTACCCGGTAAACACCTTGGGGCATGTATTTATTTTAATTTGCCATCCTTTCCCGGTTTTTTTCTTTTGTTTTTAATTTTATTTGTTTTCTGCTCTTTGGTCGTTTGTTGTGGTTGGGGCTTTGGTTTTTTGTGAGTGAGGATGAGGAATTTTTTTTAGCAATTTGCTCCATGGTGGCCAGCAGTCAATAGGGTTGCCACCTGCCATCTGCTACCTGCCCTACCTGCCCGTGTGCACACACAATCACACATACACACTCACACACGTGGTAGTGGGAACGCTGAGAAGCGCAAATTTAATTAAAGTTGGGAAAACACTATTGACTCTAACGGTAAATTATGCAGCAGACTACACAGAACAAAGCGCAGTTGAACAACCCAGGAATGCCAGAGGGTTCGAAAAGTGGGTGGTGGAAAATGGAAAAGGGGGTGGGGTAGTATAGCGAGCGAGGGGGAAGGCAGACAAATGGACAAGAGAAATGGATAGACAATCGCATAGATGGAGATAGATTGCCAAGTCGGCAGCTTCTATTGCCCCTTCCCCTTGACAATCAGCACTTGGGAAAATATTTCGATACATTTTTTGTATCGATTGGAGTCTTTCCAAAAAATTATCAAAACGACAGGGAAATTAATTTATTTATAAATATGAGAAAGCTTGAATACGGTGATAACTTCTTTAAAAGTTTTGCCTCAAAATTCTATCGATTTCTTTAAAAAAATTAATCGAAATCGATATATAATAATAATTAATAATTGAGAAAGCTTAAATTAGCTAAAATAGAAAGGACATATAGCTCTTATGATCTAGTTTTATTTGTTGTTGTTGTAGTTTATTGTAGTTTAAATTAATATCGAAATATATCGATTAAATATAAATGTTTGTAAAACAATTTATAAGTATTGCCCTAACACACTTATTAATGCCTTGTAAATGCCTGTTTTACTAAAAAATTTAATTCTAATAAATACTAAATAATTGTTTAATAGTAAAAATAAATTATTTATTAATTTATGTAATATTTATACTTTTCTTAACGGTAAACAAATAAACTAATATATGCTTATTAAACTAATTCTTCTCCTATGTGAATGAATGAAGTCGCACGAGGCCACCAAATCGATTTCCCCTTTCAAGATTAACCGAATTTTCCTTGTTTTTTTTTTTCTCCCAGTTTTTCCCTGATATTTTTCAGATTTTCCCCCAGTGCCCCCCACTTATGCACTGGCATGCAAAAGAAGGTAAAGCTCTGGGCTCATGGGCGGTGATTTTACAATTGGAAAGGGGGCAACCAAAGAGGCTTTAGCTATGCGCATACGTTGGTTGCCTCAACTCCACTCCAGATGTGCATTCAGAACCAGCTTGGGATGGCGGCAAAGCGGGGACAAGACATCAGTGGATCGGGTAGAAGGGACGAAGGACGAAGGACGATGAGTTTTCCTAGCTGAAGAGCACAACTCGAAATCGAAATCGAAATTGACGAAAAACGGCGTTCAAAATGCCAAATGAATCTCAGCTTGTGGCATGTGTGTGTGTGTGTGTGTGTGTGCCTTGGCTAAGTGCAATCTCAGAGGGGTGTGTTTTCTAGGGGGGGAAATGGGGGGACAACGGCACGAAAAACAAACACACAACGCACACGCGCTCAAAGTAACGAAACCAGGAATACGCTGGCAGATCGCTTTGATTGTTGAGAAAAAAAATTTGAAAAGACATCAAAGGGAGGGTCTTAAGTCTTAGAATTGTAAGAAATTTATTAAATTATATATTAAGATTTTTTTTAAATATAATTTTGTATTTAATTTAATTAATTTTGAGGTTTTTGTGAGGGGAGTAAGCTTAAGTATTGGATTTTTTATAATATTATACTTCGTAATGTTAAAATAATAATAATACTTTTAAAAACTAAATTCTAATATTAAATTAATATTTATAATATTATTAACAATATTTATTCTTTTTGTTTTTAAGAAAATAGCGCCTCTAAAAAATCTATAATTTCTTAAAGAGAAGCAAGCTTAATTTTTAGCTATTCTTAAAATAAAAATTATACTTTTAAGTACTAAATTCTAATATAAAAATTAATATTTATAATATTTTAAGAAATATTTATTCAATAAATACATTTTTTAGTCTCTTTGGCTTGGATATAAAATATACCTTATAATATTTCTAAGACCAAACTTAATATTGTTATTAATTAAGTTTTACTATATAGTTTTCATTAGCCTAAGCTAAGCTTTTATTTTAAATTACAAAATATATATATTATATAAAATAAATAAAGAATTATTATACAATTTTTTTGATTAAATTAACAGCTTTTAAATAAATTTTAATTATTTATACAAATTTTCCCGTGTTTTGAAAAGTTAATTTATGCTTTACCCATTTTTATCATTGTCAACCCAAATTATTTGGTTTTTATTTTAGATTCTAGATATTATTTATGTATAACCACAGATCCATAAAATTTCCCTCTTTGCCATTGAAAGAGTATGGTCCAATATGGTTTGATGGTGATCTGTGCTGCCACCACAATTGCAAAGTTTTATGGTGGAATGAACATCGGACCGACGACAACGGTGTGCATAGCAAGGCAGACACTTGAATTCTTCTTGCCACACCTACATACATGCCTCCACCCACCGAAAATGTCCTTGCAAACACACACTCACTCACACAACACCCCCCAACCATCGCCTCAAATCGCGTGAAATTGCATCGAGAGTTGATTTCACTGCTGCTTCTCTTCTCTTTTTTTTTTTGCCTTTATTGCATTGCGCGTTCGGTTGGCCTGATAAAAATGAATGACTGCATCAATGACAGTTGCAGGATGCTGCGGGGAGTGTGCCAGGATGCGTGGTGGATGCAAGGATGCAGGACATGAAATCAATGCACTCGCTAAAAGAGGGGTGCGGGAAAACGATGGGGGCAGCGATTCGACATGCGACACTTGCTCATTTGCAGCGTTTAGGACTAAAGGACTAAAGTGGCAGGAAGCCGGGCTTCTCCTACTCGCATATGTCTGTGTGTGTGTGTACAGGGTAAAAAAAAATATACCGCCGATTCGTCAAATGTACGTTTTTTGTGTGTGTTACAGTAGCTCTTAGCTGTCAGTAGTCAACGTGATATGGCACAACATCCGATTAATATTTATCCACATGTCACTCTGAACAGTTTAAATACCTTTTTTTTTGTGAGGCTGATGAAATGAAAAGGTAATGGCAAGTGATTTGAAATCACTTTAGAATATTTTTAAATATTTATAAATATTTTAGTACAAGAATTACTGCTTATATTTCAGTTTAGTAATAGGAAAATGACATATTTAAGCTATAATTTTGATTTCTTTAAATAGAAAATAAGAATAAATTTAGTTGAAAACTAAAATGAATATATATATATGGAAGTATTTTAAAATATTTGTGAATTAAAAATTATATATAAATTCTTATTTATTCAAATTTTTCTAAGTATGTCTATGCAATGTTCTTTCAAACTCAAGAAAAAGTCTGCTTCGACTTTTATAATATGTTTTTGTTATTTTATATGAATATATTACATTTATTTTAGTTTATTAAAATTTTTTTTTATATGGATTTTTAAGAATTTTGGGAAGTAAAATAAGGTTTAATTAAAGGTTACCTGGGATTACCCCTAAAACCTAAACCTAAATATAACCTTATAATTTGTAAATAATATTTTAATTGTCAAAAACAATTTATTCAAGGAAGGAGCTAACTGTTTCCGTTGATACCTTTTTTTTATATTTTGCGCTAATTTTCTTAGACCCGACAATGGCGGCTTTATATTTGTACTTGGGATACTAATTTTGGCTTAGAGGTAGCCAGAGAGAGGGAGGTTGATCGAGAGCGAGAGAGATTTATCTAGTGAAAAAAATACAAAAAAAATGAAAGCTAGAGCTAGATTTAATGTTAGAGAGAGAGAGAGGGAGAGAGAGATCTAGCTCTCCCTCAGTCTAGCCACCTTCCTCACATGTGAACACGAGGGAGAGAGAGGTTGAGCTGAGAACAGAGCTTAGAGAGGGAGAGGTTGAGCTGAGAGCAGAAAGAGAGAGAGGAGCTGATAAGCGAGCTCAGAGAAACGAACACACACACCTACACTGCTTGTATGAGAGCGCAATAATATTATTAATATTTATTTTATATTATTAATATATTTTTATTTTTTACAAACCACCTTTACGTATTTAACTTTGATAGCTCTCCCAATCTCTCAGTGTGTTTTGGGGCCAAAATGAAGTCAACAAGTTGAGCACACTCTCACACACACCCTACCCTCACTCACACACAGACTCACTCTTTTAGGGGCACACACGCGCATCATATCTGCGCCTGTATATGTGAGTGTGTATGTGTGTGTGCAAATCAGATGCTTACAAAATCACATTATGCTAATGTCGTGTAATTTTGTGTGCACAAGAAGCGGCATTAGGGACCTCTGCAAGAGGGGTCCCTCCACGAGTCCAGCGAGGTAGGTGGGGTGGGGTGAGGTGAGGTGAAGCAGGGACCGAGGGACTGAGGATCGAATGCCAAGTGCCGGCTGGCTTTACAGAGGCATGTGTGTGTGTGTGTGTTTGGGGTTCGGTGCAGCTGCATCGATGCTGTGGTGTGCGTGTGTATGTGTCTCTGTAATTACACGCATAAACCAGTCAAATGCTCGAGAGCTTAAAATTATTTGAAGAACTGCCACCAAGGGCAAAGGGGAGGAAAAGTGGGAGGAAAGGAAGAGGTAAGTAGGAGGAAAGTGTGAGGAAAAAGGGGTGAAAGTGGGATGAAATTGAGATGAAAGTGGGAGGAAAATACGAGGAAAATGTAAGGAAAAAGAGGGGAAAGGGTTGAAACTGGGAGGAAACTGGGGTGCAATCGAGGTTGGGGGTTCCCAACCATCTGCATCAGCATTTGCCAAACAATCAATGAACTAATGGCAAGCATGCAAAGCATTACTCATCATCAATATCTGTAATCGACTGACGGGCGAGCAATTTGCGATTTATCGATACATGATTGGAATTTTAAAGGCACTCTATGGACTTTTAGCAAGATGAATCACGTTGTTACAAGCTAGAAAATCAGTTTGTTAAGGAAATTGGGTTAAAAAGAAGTTATTGTTGTTAAATTTATCTTTAAAATCAAATAATTTAAGCTGATTTTATTCATTTGAAGTCTTTCTGTTACAATTTGTCGCCCAAAAAGTACATTTTCCCCTATAATCAATCAATGCTTACATGCTGCTGACTGTTAAATCCGTAACATGGCCCCAAGCATATGTCCTAAATTGTGATGAATCGAATGATAAACTGTCGCATTTATCGCTTATCGATGGCTATAACTCAAAACATCAGCGCCGAGATAAGCAAATCTGCGGTGACAGAGACAAATGTCAGAGTTGAAGGCTGCTCCGGCGACCTCTTCCTGTAGTATTTCCCTTAAGGAACTTTTCCCCTACCCTGTATATATATTTTTTTTTCTCTGTGTGTGTGTGTGTGTGTGTGTCTTGTCCCTACGCACATTCATGAAAATCTGATGGCATATAATCAGTGCCACATTCAAGGCAAATCTCCAGGTGCCACCCACCCACATCCTCCCCCCGTGATACTGCTCTTTCCCACCGTTTTGGGCAAACGCATTACATATGCCAATTTATTCATTATATTCATATTGTGCTTTGTCTTTGTCCTGATCCCCTGTCTCCCCTCTAAGCGCCAACTTTCTCCATTTGTTTTAATGCCCTTTGCCGAAAAGAGGGTCTTTGTATTCAAAGGGGAAGAAGGTCGATGTTCGAACAATTGTTAACAAAGATTTAGAGGGTTTTTTTTATTGCAGGGGATTTTTTAGTATAGGAAAATATATAAAAAAATATATACTCTGTTCTTGATTTTAGTTGTGTTTCTATTTATTTCAGCCTAGTTTAAAGGGTATTTTTATTATTTTTTTAAATTGAAAATAATTTTAAATAATTTTTAAATTAAGTAAAAATTAACCACTAAATAAAAGGTTTTTCTCAAGGGTTTTTAAATGCAAAATAAAATACTGCGAGGCCATCCTGGCGTATACGTTATATTTTAGACAATTGTCGGTTTTAAAAATTGTACTTTTTATATAATAAAATATTTTTAATTCTTTTTTTTTTAATTTAAAACCATATTTCCTTCCTCGAGGCTTTTATAAAATAAACACTACTTTTTATTTGAGCCTGTTTTTAGCATCTAAAATTTTATTTTATTTTAAATATCGTATTTTTTATTTTTATTTTAAGTAAAAAGTTTTTTTAAATAAGTTCTTAATTTTATAAACATTATAAACTTAATTAAAGGGGTATCAAGGCTTTTAAAACATAAAATAAACACATCGTCTTACTTTTTGAGACCATCCTGGCGTATACGTTATATGGCAGCCTAGTTTTAACTTCTAAAATATAACTACTTATATAATAAAGTATTTTTAATTTTATTTTAAGATTAAAATAATTTAAAATAATTTTTTTTATTGAATACAAATTAAAGGCTAACCCCTTTCCTCGGGGGTTTTTTAATACAATAAACATTGCTAGGCCACCCTGGCG